AAAAGAATAAATTTTAAATATATTCTTTATAAAACAAAAAAAGCGTAAAAGTGTATTTTTTTAGAAAGGAAAACGTGTTTAAAACGCCAAAAGAAACCTTTTCTCCGTTTGTTTTCGAAGTTTTAATAGTTTTTTTTTTTACTTTAAAAACTTCTTTTAAAAACCCTTTTAAAACTTTTAAACATTAAATTGTTTCAAACTGTTTCAAATACAAAACAAAAAATCAATTTAAAGTGTTTATATTTATATTAAAACAATATTTTTTAAGGAAAGAAAATTTAATAATTAAAAAATAATAATAAAAATAAATTTATGTGGTAAGGAAATAAAACTTACTAGTTTTATTTATTTAGTAGAAGAAAAAAAACACACGAACACATAAATTATATTTAGAAACTACTGTAAATTGTTTTAAATAAACATATTCAAATATAAATATTTGTAGAAGTAAAATTTACCATAAAAAATGCTTATAAGCGAAGTTTTGATTATTGATTTCTGTCAAATGTAGATATATTGAACATAAAATATTCCTCGGTGAACAGCGGCACATATTTTCTTACTTTAAAATTATATCTAAAAAAAACTCGCCGTGGTTTATTTATTCCTTCTATAAAAATCAACGTAAAATTTCTTGTAAAAATCGTAAAAAAATTATTCATATTAAATAATTGAAAAATTTAAAATAAATTTATTTTACGACAGATCGGGTTCTACGCAAATGGAAACGATAGGGTTTAATGGGGGTCAAGAACGACGTCCTATAAAAAACTAATCTCTATTTAAAAGTACACGTGAAAAAAACCCGGTAAACTCCTGGTGGTTGAGGCGCGAACCCGCGACTAACTACTAGTGTTCGGTCGTTTTAGGCCCATCGGCGGCCAAGCGGTTCCTTTCCCCGAAAATCAGTTCGGTCGTGGGTTCGGACCTGGCCGGGTGGAATTTTCCGGGTTTTCTCCACTCCGTAACGTCCGAATAGGGGGTCAGTTAGCGGGAGCGTTTAAAAAGGCCTCTCACTCTAGGCAGATCGTCCGTGTGTCGCTTTGCCGTAATGTAATAAAACAAAAACAAACAAATCAGTTGTTCTATCCACTGGGATAGTGTGGACGGGGTTAGAGGAAAATAGGGGGAGAGCGAGTGACAACACTTAAGAAGAACTATACAAGACAGGGTTAATCGGTGGAAATTATAGAAAACTGGTAGTCTAAAGCTTTATTTATAAATACAGTATTTATTTATTTATGTAATAATATATATTTAATATAAAACTAATAATGTATTATTTCTATACTCAGATGTTAGTATTTTTATCAATTTTAAGTAAAACTTAGCGTGNTCGCTTCAGAGAGTCCTGATAAGAAAAGTTACCTCACGTTACACTCTTGAAAGAAGTATTCCACGTTACAGAGTCTTGAAAGGAAAGAAGCTCTACGTTACAGTCGTATGCGAACTTTTTTTACGAAGAACTTGCTTTTATATTATTCCTTTTTAGAATAATTAAATTATTAAATTAATAAAAGAAAAGAAAAAAAGTAGCGCATGAAATTTAATTTTCGTAGTCGCCATTATTTCATTTTCTTGATAAATTAAAGAAGATTTAATGTTTATTTAAGTAAGAATAAAATTGAATTATATTTGTGGAAATTGTTTTTCTTTAAGTAAAGAAAATCTATTTCTTACCTGCTTAAAATCTAAAACTGCTTCGGTATAAAATTTTAATCCCATTACTTCTTCGTCTTCCCTTCCATAACGAAAGACTAGAACAACTATGGCGTAGACCTTTCGATCTTTCAGATAAAGTGGATCTATATAGACAACACCATCGATAGGAGTCACCTTTCCATGGTCGTAAACAAATTCCCTGCTGCTCAGATATAAGGTTATTTGACCATTGGGAGATTGTTTCTTGAAAACCCTAATTAAAATATAAGGAAAACTCTAATTACTCATCCTTCCTTACAACTAAGTATGGCATCTGTAACTATGAAAGAAAAATATATTTTTATTGTATTATAACGTAATTTAATTTTCAATCGTTTGCATTTTTAATTTCGATTTCAACAATCGACTGTCGTTAAAATTATATCTTAAACATATCGCGGAGGACCACCTATACTAATAAATCAATATATATTTAATTTTTAATACAGTCGACCCCCCTATAACACTGTTGATAATTCCGTTTTATATGAATTCCATGTTGTACGAGTCATTTAGATTTTACAAATACGTGAACCGTTCACAGCCCAGCACACGTATTTGTAAAATCTAAGTGACTCGTACAACATTGAATTCATATAAAACGGAATTATCAACAGTGTTATAGGGGGTCGACTGTACTGCGCAACTCCCAAATTTGTCGTATTCCTTAACACATTTCTCGAGTTTTTATTAAAATATAAGGTGGCATCTTTTTTTAAACTCGTTCTGCCATGCGAGCACTAAGATGGCCTTTTTAGCGCGTTTGGCCAGGCGCACGATAGAGCCGCCGGCAGGCGAGGGAAAAGAGGCCCGACTTATCCGGACGAACCACTCCCGAAAAATTCCCGGAGTGGTCCTTACAGAGGTAGGTTGTCACTCTATTCGCTCGGCCGTCCCGATGTCTAACCTGTTGCATCTTAAGATTCATAAATTAAGTAGCGTGGGTATATAAGTAATTGTTTATGGAGTGGAGTGTTTACAAAAACATTATACTTTTGTTTCTGCAGTGTTGAGTAGTTATTCGTGCTTAATTAATTAATGTAACGTTCGGTTTAGTATTATTCTTAAGCCGGTTGATCGAGAATACGCATTACGTAATTTTGGGGTGTGTGCAACACCATTACGATGTTTTACAGTGGAAAAATATAAAAATAGCATTACGCAATTTATGGACGATCTAGATGACGAGTCACTCTACACACGAATCTACAATAACGTCCACCTTAAACGACGGCCATTTTTCAGGCATATTGAAAAATGCACACAAAATGATCTCCAAACAACTCCCACGTTCGAACAACGCCCATTTTTTTATGTCCCCAAAAAAAGGCCGTTGTTCAGAGGTTCGACTGTATTTCTAACTTAAAATACATCAGAAACACATACATTTTTTCATATTGCGCTCGTTATAACTATAACATATCGGTTTAAATCAATTTAGCTTTGTGAAAATGCTTCCGAAATTAAAATATAAGCTAAGTTTTAAAATAATACCGTCAAACTTTGATGTAACGCCATTAGTCGAATTCGAGTGTGGCGCTAAACCGAAGTTTGATGGAATCACTAAAGGATTCGTTGTTTAATACTTAGAGGAACATCCGTCCACAAATCTTTATTGGCGCTTTACGATAGCGCTAAATCCAGATTACCAATGCGGTTATAATGTAAACACGAATAGAAACATATAATCTCGCATTGTTTTCATTGTAACCGTTAAATGTCATTTTAAACGTAAATAATGTTAATGGATTTTCGTATCATATTATTTCAAAAATACTGCTTAAATTCGTGTTTTCCTCGATTAATTTAGTAAACAAACTTTTCGGAAATTCTGTTTATTTGTTAAAAATAAATTAAATTAGCTTATTTTTTGCACTGTTTTTCCAATAAATCAAAAAGTAAGTTCGGTTGATTCTTTTACGAAAATTAACGTAAAATTTTGTGTAAAAATTGTAAAATATAATAAAAAAATAATTTTAATTTATTATATGTGACTATTAATTAAGTTATGTATTAAATCATTGCAAATTTATCATAAAAAAAGCAAATTATATGCCAATATCCACGTTAAATAACCCACTGATAGGAAGTGGATAAAACCGCTGACACTAGTCGCCTGTTCGAACCTCAGCCACACACTGGTCACGTAGGGTTTTCCAAGTATTCTTCACCTGTTTAATATCTAAATAGGACCAGTTTCCTGTAGATTACGTGTGTAATAAACACGTAATCTACAGGAACACGTAAATAGGAGCCAGTTTTATACAGAAAATTTAATGCTTATTAATTTTAATAAGAATTAAATAAAAATCAAGACGAGGGAAGAAACATTTTTAAAGGACTCTTCGTTCTTTTCTTTTATTACATTTAATATCGCAACCTTGGGATTTATTTCTAAATTAAATCAACTGGAAAAATTCAGTTACAGTTTGACGTTATTGACAACAACAGAGTAACTCTAGCTATTAACATGATTTGGAGATTACCAAGGGCTTAATGAAGTCCCTGTGGTTTGTTCCAGAAATTTTATTTCATCCAAACACATAATGGAACTAATTCCACAACAGGACACATGGCATCTTTTACAAAAAAAAAAAACCAATATATATAATAACTGTATAAAATTTTATTTAAAAAATACACTTAAACCTGTAAACAGCGGCCACTGAAGAAAGCAAAAAAATGGCCGTTTTTTCGCAGGTGGCCGCCATTTAGAGGTTCGATCGGTTCGACTGGATCGTTCTTTTTGAATATTTTAAACGAAATTCAAAAAAGAATTACTCAATGTCCGCCGTTAAGAGGTGGTCGTTGTTGCAGGTTTGACCATATATTAATTTTTGTCTTCTCTTTAAAATTCATTTACTTATTTTTTACAATAAACAGGCAATTCTTTCTCTTTGTTTACTTTAAAAAATGCTTGTTATTACAAGACAAATAAATAAATTAATTAATAAAAATTTTTATAAGAACAAGAATAAAAAATAATGTTCCCGAATACGAATTTTTATATATACTAATTTTAATTTTAAAAAATGAAATTTTTATTATTTATTGTAATAAATGCCTCCTCAAACAACCGGGCAATGCCCAAAGGTATTTAATATTTCCTTCGAATACGAGAACCCCGATAAAATTTACGAGTACGAACACACAATAAATATAAAATAATTTTATTTTTAAAGTAAAATTAAAAAAAGAAATGCGTGTATTGTTTTAATAACAATAAATTTTTTTCTGTAATTAAATAAATTTTAAATAAATTGATTACCATTAAAATTTAGCAGTTCAAATGCAATTAATTTTGCTATAGTAGCATTTCAGGACATACGGAAGATGATTCTGTAAAAAATGATTAGTACAAAAACTGACCACTACGGCATTTTTGGCGCTTTGGGTCTTTTTTTAAAGTAAGTTTTGGTTATGGGGACGCGTAAAAAGTGTAATCTATCGAGGGCGTGTTACGAATTTTATGTTCGAAAGACAATATCACAGTGCGTGTGAGAAACATCGCAGATCAATTACATTCGGCCGTTGAACCACAATGCTCATCACTCTCAGAATGGTGCCACATTTAACGGTATACCCCGCATCATTCATATTGCTAAGGTCTCTGTATAGCGAGAATGTTTGTACAAATAAAATGTTTGTTTTTTGCAACGCTAAAAGTCCACGGTTTTAGTATAAATTTAGTTTTTAAACGGAAATGTCTTTCGCGTGTTTTGAAATGCCACCGTATCAGATTTGGTTACACGAAGAGTGCTAAATATCTCCGTAGATAGCGCTAAATAGGGGTACTTTAATTACAATCACTTGGTCTAGAAATGCAAAAATGCCAGGGGTAATTTCTATATGTATGGATGTTAGTGTGTGTGGGGAAACGATTTTGTTCACCCTCTTTGAAGCTTAATAACTCCCGTGATATCTGTCGAAAATTTCTGGAATTTTTAAGGGAGGGTTGTTTATTAGGAGAAGCGATGCTATTAAATTTTGGTGGTTACAGGTCGACGGGATGAGAGATAAAGGGGGTGGTGTGTATGTCGAGTAGAGTCGGACTTAATAATGATTTTACTCGTTATTAATATTCGCAATTTTTATAAAACCCATTCGTACCGTCAAAATTAAGCTTTCTGCCATTTTATAATAGTTAAAAATATAAAAATTTTTAATAATAAAATATTGTAACAGATGGAGCCATCAAATGTTGCCGAGAAAGTTAAGCAACTTCTGGATATTTTACTATTCCTTGTCAATTACCAGGTCACGAAATGAAGTGTAAAGCAAACATTTAAGTGAATTATTGAGGTGTGTAAATTTATAGTTTATTTATCAAAATATAAGATTATTTTGTAGCTGTTTAAAGAATTTATTAGAATCAATTAATAATAAGACTAATTATTCGCAACGAAGATTTTGGAAAATACTATTGCAAACAGCCGGAATGGTAAATGAGTTTGCTTCTTTCCTGGAGAGTTCGGGTTCGAACCCGGGTTTGTTTTGCACGTTAGACCCAATCCCTCGACCAGTTGCTCCTACGTTGTGGGCCTTTGAGTCTAGTCGAATCAATAAGGAGCGTGAAAGAAAGCCCTCTTAGAACCGAGAAAGTAAACCAATTTAAAACTAAAATAAAGGAAAATATCTTAAATCTTTTGCAGATTTTTATTACACCATTTGTTAGCAAAAATATTTTTAGTATGTTTATCATATAAGGAGCTTAGAAACAGCAGCGTATTGATAAAGATGATAAAAATAGACATTTCTGTTTGGAAAATATGTAATTCGTTCTCATCTGGCTCTAGGTAATGAAATGTTGATCTACAACTTTCTCGAATTTGTTTTCTAGAAGTTGATTTTGTTTGCTCGGTGATTTGTGTTATTGACAAAGCAACAACGGGTGTAGAACGAAGACAAAGTCCAGGTTCTTCTTATAAAGAAACGTACTAAACAAGAAAGATTGGTGTTTTTCAAACACTGTCACGTGGCTTTTTAAAGATTAAGGTGACAAATCGATATACTTTGCACCGAATATACTAGATACATTAAAGCGGATATCTAATTCTTAATTAATGCGTTTAATCGCACGAAAACATCGTTCCAAGATACTCTTACCTAAACTAAATCGGCTTATTTAAGCTTCTTACGCTTTAAACGTGACTGTTTTTGTAAACCATTTTCTTAAATGCCGTCTTAAGACAATTAGCTAAATAAAGATATTTA